GCACAGGAGCGATGGAAGTTGTGGGTGATTTTATTACTTTGGTAGTCAAGATATGAATGTTCCTTTAAAGAAGTATGTTCCTGGTCGAGATAAGTTATGTAGGTTTTAAAGAGAAATCCGGATCTGACATGCGAACTCCAAAGCAACTGAAAAAAAATCAAAAGTCCAGTTGGCTGCAAAGAAACAGACATTTGAAGAATGGTTTCAGCTGATTAATGTAACCTTTACAATCAATGGCATTATGAATAGGCCCGAAAGAGTTTACAGGGTTGATGAGGGTGGCTTTCCACTCGACCCTAAGCGATTGAAGTGGTTCATGAAAAGGAGATCAAAAACCTTTTTCGTGTCACTGGTGGCTCATAAAGAGATTCCATCACAGTGCAAGGATGTGCTCAAGCTGATGGGACCACGCTTCCCCCCCCCCCACCCCAGATAACTTATGGGACCAAAAAATCTAAGAGTTTCATAGACGCAAAATGGACTTGATAATGCTACATACAATGTCTCTGAAAAAGGTTGGATGAACAGTGTTTGTTTTAGTGACTGGTTTGTAAACCATTTCATTCAATTTATACCAGAAGGTAGACCTATTCTGTTAATTGTTGATGGGCATGCTTCACATATGAATATTAAAGTCATTAGAGCAGCTATTCAAAATGGAGTTATAATTATGAAACTTCCAGCAAATTCAACCCACTTGCTCCAACCTCTTGATGTGGGTGTCTGTAGACCAGTGAAGATAGATTGGGAGAAAATTCTTATTAAATTTGCCAAGCAGAACTTAGGTACAGCCTTTTGCAAAAAAGCTGTTTCCTACTCTTCTGAACAAGTTATGGGAAAGTGACTGTCTGAGCAAAGGAAATATTGAATCCGGATTTAGCGAATGTGGCATCATGCCGTTTGACCCTTCCAAAATTCCATCCTCTGTGCATGAATCAGCAGAATATGTGGGCAGTGTTCAAGCAGCATCAACAGCACACGACGCAAGTCGCACAAGTTTGGGCATACGGCAAGGTGACAATGAACTGAGTCAGTCAGCCGTTTCTGCCATGACGACAGAATCAGCTTATTCTCAACTTCCCAAAATCAGAAAGGAATCCCATGCTGAGAAGCAGAGCGATCAAAGAAACGCTATTAGATACTTTTTCTCAACAGGCTGTTACCATTGCTGAAACAAAACACATTCAAAACTCAGAAAGGCAATTAAAAGTCTGATTGCTCAGGAATGTGTGGAGCGAATGGAGCGGCAAGAGGCAGTTAAGGTAGAAAAAAATCACATGATCACGGAGAATTTTGCATAAAAATAAAAAATAGCGCAAGCATCGAAGTGATCTGGACCAAAAGAAACCATCCAGTTCACATGGTCAGAAAGATACCATGGATCAGCGACTTCGTGATGTCTTCGTAAAGGCAGTCAAAATCACACGATCACAAAGACATCTGTTAACTGAAGTGCATGTGCTCAATAAGACTACAAATGTTGTAGGCAAAAAGAAACCATCCCGTTCGTATGCTCAGCTCAGAAATGATTCCATGGAAAAGCAGAAAAGTGGTTTAAAATCTCGCAATGATATCGATTTTTCCATATCTCACAGTGATGATGAGTGATTGCCCCCAAAGAAAGTGCCGAATAGAAACATATTTGAGAAATTCAGTTTCTGAGAGACATAACAACAAGTGCCTGCTAATTGTTTAGTTGTGGTGTTGAAAAAATCCTGACCAGAGCAGGTGTGGAATTGCCCCACTTTCCTATTTTATCAAAAGAGCAATAAAATGTTAATACCTTGGTTACAATTGTGTTTACAGCAAAGTTCTTTCGGTAACAGTAAATGTAGTTTCTTGATGTGCTGTTAACTAGAAGGGCAGACGGCTCGATCCAACGGCAAGTCTACAGGAAGAAAACCTGGAGTGGACAGTATACGAACTTTCACAGTTTCGTTCCGTTGAGATATAAGCGAAACCTAATTCGCTGTCTAACCACAAGGGCCCACAGGATCTGTTCTGAAGACAAGTTGGATAATGAGTTGACGCTCATTCAGAATTTGCTGCGCGAAAACGGATATCCTGATCGCTTCATTTTGAGGAACATGCAAAGTAAGCCCGACCAGTTACAGGTTCAGACAGCAGAGAAAAAAGAACTTTTCATACGACTACCCTTCAAGGGAGACGCCGCTGCTGAGCGTGTAACTAGAAGCCTTTCAACAGCTGTCAAGTCAACTTTTCCAGCAGCCAAACTTAGGTGTACCTTTTCCACGGAGCCACTCATCCGTATTTACAACAAAGACAAGTTACCGACGCTGACCGCTTCTATGGTAATTTATCAGTTCAAGTGCGCTTGTGGCGCTACTTACATCGGTCGAACGGCGCGGCAACTTTCGAAACGCATTAAGGAGCACCTACCACGTTGGTTGCGTCGAGGTGGTACTGGAGCTATAACTAGCTCAGTTATGGCTCATCTGGTTGATAGTGGGCATGAGGTTGACCCAGTCAGTGCCTTTCGAATACTGTACAGGGTCCCTCCACTCCAGTCGAAAGGCCTGCGCCTCCGGACCCTTGCTACTGCCGAGGCGATCAGCATTCGGTTGTACCAACCTCTTTTGTGTGCACAAAAGAAGCTGATCGAAGCTGTTCAGCTACCTTGGCCAGCCAAAACGGATCCTTCGGTCAGCAATTGCAATTGTGCAACGGTACCTCAGACCTAGTTTGCTGTTTGTTACTGGTTCATGTCTTTGATCGACACGTGATCTATCTCATTTGAACTGATCGTTAATCCCCTTGTACTTTCCTATTGCGATTTCAACCATATGATTGTACAGGTCTGAAGATGAATCATCGAAAACAATTGTTCACCCTCGGTCTTTCGTTCTTGATAAATGTAGTGCTATCCAGATAATATGTGTTATTATGAATATTGTCAATTATTTAGGTTTTTTATACATATTTTAAAAAGTAGGGTGCGGGATTACTCCAACTTATTGTACTCAAAAAGTTGGAATCATCAGGATACATTGCGGTGAAAATCATGACAAAGGAGGTTGAGCTCAACGGAGAGGCAATGAAGAATGTGAAGGCAGTGTAGGTAAAAGTGGAGTGGAGCTTAACTTGGTTAATTTTTCTCCTTTGCTCACCTTGTCTACCTAGTGGCTCCATGGAAGCCGAAGAAGAGTAACAAATGAGCAGACATTTGCACTTTCCTTACCTCTGTTGCGGTTCAAAGTTCACTCGACTTCGCTTTACGGATGGCGTAAACATACCATAACAGAGCATCCGATGTGACAGCAACCGGTGCAATTTCCATGGGTAATCATTATTTCTCCAAACACTCGTAGATTCCTTTTCTATCATTCGATTCACATCTGTTGCCGTAAGCACACACTTTGGCTATGTGAGAAGCTAACGTGTTCAATATGCAACCGCAACAACCGGGAAAAAACCGCGAGAACCACGAGGAAAGGAAGCAAGCATCTTGAATGTCATTAGAGTAGCATGGAATAGTTGCCGGATTATTTCTCAATCTCCGTGTGTTAATAACATGAACACTCGATGGAATTGCCGGCCCGTGGCCTCAAGGATCCCAAGTCCACCTTGTAATACAACGGGGCGGGTTCCACCCTGCGTACGGGTCGGGTGACCCTCACGTCCGAGTAGCGATGGTTGAGTAGCAGCGGACTATCGGCACTGCGTACTTGCCTTTCTTGGGTACGGTTTCGCAGTCATCACGGTTCTGCTTTCTTTGCTGACGCCTATTCCAAAGAATGTCAGGGAAAATCCGAATGCCGCAAGTAGTGAAGGTAAACATAGTTGACACTATCAAATGAACACTCACTCGAATGAACGGATTTCACATGCATTTTCATAGTGCCGCTCTGAGAAAACGATTTGCCACACTGTTCACATGTGTAGGGGCGCAGTGCTGAATTAAGGAACACAAAGTGTATAGTATTAGTGGAAGCACAAGAGGAAATCACCCATAGAATAGTGGATAATCAGTTAGAAAAGGAGCACAAACTTTATCGTGTAGCATAACCATGAGCACAAATAACGGACCAGAGGATTCGCCGTGTAAACGAACAGCTGTTGATGTACGGCCATCTCTAGACTGGAAACCAATGGCTAATAGTGTGTGGCGTCTATACTTAATAATCGATTCATCCTAATAAAGTGTCCCTAGCGAGAGATTTTACATTCTGGCACACCATAACTAGTGAATGATAATGAAAATACAAGGCACCTCGCCGGGACCATACCGGCAAGCACTGGAAAATGTAGTGGTCGCCGCAGCGCGGATGAACTACGACACGTGGTGAGAGAAACAGTAGAATCTGTTTCGCTAACATCTGATCGACCGCAGGGTTAATCTCTCGCATCCAACTACACACTGACTGACTACTCCAAATACATTCTTCCCTGTTGAACATGCTCCACTTCCAGGTGGCTAAACACAGCGTGTTTGCCGATTTGTCATTGCTGCTAGCTGATTGCGGATGCAGCGTGACTGCGCACATCGTAAGGAGTTCGTTCCCATGCACCAGGTTCTATGTGGGGTAAGAAGAATTGTGGCGCCTGTCCATGTGAGCTCTTCATCCCAACTCTGTGAGTGTCCTCGATCCTAACGCAGCACTATTGCCCTAACCCAACCCCGTGTCTCCCATCAGAATCGAACATGATTCACTGCAAAAACTGTCAACTTCGTCCCCACTCCACCGTCATCAAGACGCATGCACTCGGAAAATTGGTTTCGCTACCTTATCTATTCCACTGATAACCTACTACCAATGTGGAACATGGATGTGAGTATACCTCATAATTGGCAACGCCAATCGTACTTGGATCATCTCTACAGATGATTGTCGAAAACCAACCAGCTCATCCATTGTCATGGATCTCGTCCACACTGGTTATGCAACCAAGTTATGTAAGACCTTCAAAGTGACTTTTATATACCGAACAATCGATCAAAATGTGTTTACTTGAATTCACTGAGCCTATCCCGATTCCGTCGTGCAAGCATTCAGATACGGTTTGCTCAAATGTCAAAACTATCTTGGCCCACTAAAACTGTGATATCTGGAACACGCAGTTGTCCGCCTAAAGCAAATGTGACCTAACGGACAGCGATTGCGTTTGATCAGTGATTGTGAACTGTAGGTAATTTATCAACACGCATCATATTCACTAGTTTGTTTTTCAAATATAATTGTACAAGCTTGTAGAAGGCTTATGGAAAACAACAGTTCCTATGAATCGACTTTTCAACGTTCAATCGAATTAATTACTACTGTAAGTACTGCTCATGTTTTATACAACTGGTATTCTGAATACGTATCAAAGTGTACGGGCATTCGCGTTGAGTAAGCGCTCACTGAATAAGCGTAAGGTCACTGGGCGCAAATTCACCAGACCATACTAGCAGTATGCAAATCGTTATGTGGTAAATCTAATTGCCAACATGGACATTGGGTCTTTTCTGAGTTCCTGGATGTTATCGATGCTCGTTGGCACATTCCGGCTGAAAGAGCACACAATGAGACCCGCAAATACATTATGGCGAAACTCCGTGCACGCACTTTGGTGATCTCATCGTGCGTCAGAAATGGAAGTGGCCGCTGCCCTTGGTAATCACAGAAAGTTATTAAGGACGGTAGAAGACCTGGTGTTAGTGAAAGTGTATGGGACGAGAGTGGACAGCCCATCATTTGGTTTGAAACCATAAGGTCACCGGTTCGAATCCGCGTAGGGGTGGGCGTCCTCGCAGGTATACTCAGCCAGCGTGAGACTGGTGGTGGTCGCGCGGCAGCGAAGCGCCGTTACGGCGTACAGCTGACACATTATTATTTTTATTATTTTATTATTGGATAGCCCATCCACAATTTGTTAAAACGCTTGGAGTGTTGGGCTGAACACTTTGAGAGGTAATTTAATAGATCTGAACTGTCAGTTTTCCTGACAGCAAATGATCACCCTTCAAATCCATCGAATCGCTCAGAAGTCGGACATGAGATCGGAACGCTTTGGAAAAAGGGGACCGAATCAGATGATCACCCTAGAGGATTCTTCGAACGCAGGGGAATAGCTCTTGTTGATGATCAACACAAGTTATTAGTGAGACGGCGGGAGTAGGAAACCGTACCAACCGACTGGAACCGCTCCGTTATACTCCCGATTTCCAAAGGAGCCCGATGTTCGAAAAGCAGCAAGCATCGAGGAAACAATCCGCCAAAGTAGTTGCGGAGTTAGCTGTAGTTCAGCTAGAGTGAGCGCTGGGTGAATAGAATGTGGCACACAGTCACAACTGGTAATGAGTACCATAACATGGGAAATGTAGTGCATTGTTTGTTACACAAAAATACTCAAGATGGCCAAGTACGTAGAAAGAAAAATGGAACTTAAATGACGTTATCAGCTACACACTCACCAAGATGAACGGATTTGACATGTTTTCGCAGAGTGCCTTTATCAACAAACGATCTGTCACAAAGTTCACATGAATGGGGGCGTCGATCTGGATAGTGAACCAAAAGATGATTAACTGTAGAAAAGTTACAGTGAGAAAAAGCCAACATAGTCAGTGATCTATTACAATTGGTGCATATCCGCCACGGCACACCAAGGCATTAGTCGTAACAAAGGAAGCCAGGATTCGCTGTGTGAAACAACGGATGATACCATGCGAATATCGTGTAACAAGAGATAGAATGACGCATCCTTGACAAAAAACCCTAATATGCTTAAAACTATGGCACGTCCAAAACAGATGGGATGAGATTTCAGTAGAAGGATTAAAATAGCCAGTAGGACACAATCGGCGCAAACTGATAACTACATTTTGTAAGTTCCGCAACAGAGTCTCTTCGGTCAGCACCCGATCAGCTGCCTCGAGTCATCTCGGATCCAGCTGTCCATCCAAACTAGTTACTCAGGCTAAATTCGATATTTCTAACCTCATTTCGCCGCCAAATTATTAACTACAGAAAGCAAAATACCGCTCCGACTCAGTCACCATCCGTCCAATCAAACAACGCCGCGGCTGTTAACAGTGATAATGAAGTGGAATAATGTTTGTCAGCTGTACGCCGCAATGGCGCTTCGCTGCTGTGCGAGCACCACCGGTTGCAAGCGGGTTGGGTATATCGCGAAGACGCCCACACCTACGCGGATTCGAAGCCGCGCCGCAAGATTACGAGACAAGCTCGTTACCTTTAGGCTACGGGCCGAAGTGGAACCCAGAAATGACTTCCATATTTGAAGTAAAGTTCTCATGACTACCCTGGACAACCACTGGGCTGAACTCAGACGTAACTAGTGGTAATGACTTTCGAAAACCTCCCACTAGCTTAGTGCAGGACCACCAGCTACATTATGACCCCTTGACCTTTACTAAGGAGGAACTTGAGGTGGTTGATCACTTCACTTATCTTGGTGGCTGCATCAGCAATGATGGGCACATAGAAACTGACGTCAGCTCACGCACTGTTAATGCCAGAGCTGCCTTTTTGAACCTGCGGCATCTTTGGCGACAGAAAGGAATTTCCCTCCGTCTGAAAGGCCGCGTTTACAAGGTCACAGTGAGGGCCGTTCTGCTCTATGGGAGTGAGACTTGGCCCCCTTCGGTCTGAGGCACGTTCAAGTCTTTGATCATCATTGTCTGCGAAGCATTGCTGGTGTCGGATGGCACCAGCGCGTCCGCAACGATGATGTGCGTAGGCGACTACTAGGTAGTGATAAGGATGCCAGCTCCTTAGAACAACAGATAGGGGTGAATAAGTTGCGTTGGTTCGGGCACGTGGTACGTATGCCTAGTCACCGCCTAGCTCAAAGGGTCTTGTTTAGTCTGCCACGTGTGGGGTGGCGCAAGGCTTGTGGTGAACAGAAGTTGACTTGGCAGCGTGAAACGAAGTCACTGACGACCAAACTGCGTGCCGTTGGTCCGTCTCGCCTTCCGGGCTGGAGTCCATTTGACCCGCCTTGTGCTTGGCTCGAGACTTTACAGAACATGGCTCGCAACCGACACCAGTGGCGCGTCTGCTGCCACCTCCTAGTTGGATTGCCTGTTTAAAGTGTGTTTGGTGCTGAGTTATCTACGGGCTAATGGCTGAATATGACCGGGGGCAGTGAAAGCCGCAAGGAAGCTGTCTCGCCGATGCCGCTTTATCATTGCACGACAGCGAGCTGTTTGTGAGGGCATGTTGAGAACACGAGGTGTAGGCGCCTAGATCTTGAATATTTGTTTAGGCATTAAACTTTTCAGGTAAGTCTCCCTTCTCTCTCCCTTCTTTATATCATGGGTCATCATGGCTGTACGGCAGCGAAGCACCAGTTCAAATGGCTGATGTACTGCTGTTTTTGTTGTTACCAGCTCTGAATAGCGGTAGAAGCTGAAATAAATCGAAGTCAAATTGATCAGTACCACCGCGCCTGACGCAGACAACTGTTTGGTGCTGCCTGTTTCCAATACCACATTTCAGGAGCGACGCCTTGTCTCAATTACATGTCAGCCCCAGAGTTGGATTATAGAGGTAAGAGATCATGTGGTTGCGGGTTCCGAACTAAGGACCATTATCGGATGTCATTTCATCGGGTACACTTTAGCGAAAGGATTAACAACTGAGCTCTTCGAGGATCACCTCTCTCACGGGTGGAAATAAATGCATTCATTTTGAAAGAATCCCTGTAGCAATATACCCAGGGAGACCACAGACTCAATCTAGAGTAGATCTGGAACGCGTGTACAACTCCGGTTCGCCGGCCTCGTGAAATTCGCCGCAGCGGCAAGCCGACAGGTTCAACGCCTGCTCCCAGATTCCACTGGTTCTAAGGTTAAGATAAAGCTCTGCTTAATGCATAGGTAGGCTCAATAAGAATGCTCCAAATCAAGACAAGAATGTGCTTTATGTACGCATGAAAGGTGAATAACCTGCTGCAGTACACAAGCACTTGACGTGGATAACTAGTGAAAAAGATTGTACAAAATCAAAGGTACAAAACAGCAGATCTTAAAAAAACGCCGATGGGGCCCAAATCCCTTAGTAATTTGCCCATCAGATCTTGAACGAGTACATTTTGAATAGACAGTTAACTTGGTAACTAAAACACAACTGATGGAATCTATGCACCCTGTACGAGCATACAGTTTTGTACACAGTCTGATCGATGAGTTCGATAACATTCCGACATTGTAGTGTGTAGGGAGAGATATCCGTACTCAGAATATTGGATGAAAATATTTTGTAGGAAATGCCATGGTTGGATACAATAATGTCAACAGGTGCGACTACATGGAGATAGCTGTTCCATTGAAATGGCAAATGCTCATAGATCCTTAATTAAGAGACAAGAGAAAATCACAGGAGAGCAGCAACTCCAATAGGATAACATGCACGCAGTGACAAAACCCAAATTTAAACTTCAAAATGAAGAGGACCTGAGACAGTTGAGTCTATTTAGTTTAGTGAATATTTCGTTCGCGAGAAAGAACGGGAAAGATCATTGCTTAGTGTTACTGACGTGAAAAACTTCGCACATTTAGCATCGAAGCAAAGTTGTGGGCACTGCGTGAGATGGCAGAGATTTCTTTTAGGTAGTAAAAATGTACATCTACACCACAGCTACGTGTTATCAGCGACAATAATGTAACCCAGATAGCGAAATCAGAGTATAAACAATGTTTTCAGATATACACTTACTCGTGTGAATAGATATGATGTGCGTTTGCAAAAGGCAATTCCGAGAAAACGATGCACTACACTGTTCACATTTAAAGGGACGAAGATCTGCAGTAGAAAGCCGGAAGTGTAATGTCACAGATGAATCATACTTGGAAGTCATACAAAAATGTATGATAGACGCGCCTACTCAAATGATAGCTTATAAAGGAATTTATACTAAGCAGGGATTCATTAAACAATACGAAATAGCTACGATACCAATTTCATGAAACCTAGCGTTAACAAAGACTCGATTCTGTTACTGCGTACGAAACGAGGCATCTAACATTCAGATTCGTCCTTGATGTTCAAATAAGGTAAAATGGAAAATAATCTCATTGCGGCCAAAGCAGTAGTCGGCGAACAATGCACAACCAGATAAGTATGCCTGATGCAATATACTTTAGTACCATTGGAGTTCTGTCACCTGTAGCCACATTCCAGCAGTACTATTTGGCCACGCATTATTTGAGCTACGGTGTCCTATTTTTATCAACCGGCATCCAACGATCGCACTGTGAAACAAATAGGTAGGCAGGTTGCACTTGCTCGCACACCAGGTACACTCAGCTGTGAACCAATTTGCGTTCACGAAACTAGCAGCACGGACCGTCACGAGGTTATCCAACTAGTTGCGTTCAGCCTGTTTTCTCGCACGCCTCCGGAGACGCTGATACGGCAACCATAGATCAAACTGGAGTGGGCATCGTTCACAGTTCCAAAGCTAAGTTATGGTTGGATGAATGGATTCCCGTGAACTCAAGAACATTCTTAAGTGTTCTATGCAATTGTGCGCCGGGCGTCAGATGTCTCTTGATAGCAGGTACCTTGAGCACAGTGGGCGTCGATCTGGAACGTTGTGTCCCCCAACGCTGGACTAAAACATACCACATCAACATAAATTTCGGATCGCGCGGTTTCATTCAATACTACCTTGATCATGTCCTGATTGAATGCCGAATTCTTATGAACTTCATCCATAGGCGGATCAAGCGTTCCCTTTAGCTGGTAATTTAAGTGGACCAAAACTATCAGGATATCGTGCACACTAAGCTTCCATTTAAGAGCTCCAGTGGAATAGTATCTCGGCCAACATACACGACGCTGGAACCTCTGCTGGTGGAACTAAGCGGTAATCGCACCAATCATGAAAAAGTACAACATGAAACCGATCAGCGCCGGTAGGAAAAGAATAGGGGTCGTGTTAGCAATTCGGTATTGGGCAGTAAGAAAGCCGGACAAATATGGTCATAAAATGGAATAGAACAAGTTCCATCCATTAGATTACACCGATTTCCCGGTTGCCAAACCGGGGAAGTGGTCATCACTACCTAACGTGACGGAGGCTTTAAAAAATGTGAATTAGTAGTGTGTTAAGCTCACCGCTTATGCAGCCGTCCAAATAAGTAAGTCGATCAATCCTAACTACCGGTTCTTGAATAACTGTCACTACTGGCTACATATCGTTCCAGTCCTGTGGCATTGCGTCATACTTTGAATGTCAGTCAAATCAAAGGAAACTATCAAGCCAGGCTGTAAGGTACTGTTCGAGTATTAGGTGGGCAAGACAGCCTTCGCTAGGGCAGAGTGTGGTTCACGATGTAGTTGAATAGCAAATTATTGTGTATTCCCCTAACAGGTTCAGATACCTCGTGCAAGAGTCACTGACATATCCATGGACACGACCAGGCATCCGGTTTCATCACTATATTTATCGGCTAGGTAGATAAAACGAGAAAGCACATTGCTCCTACACACGAAGGGATCCTGCGGTAGGATTCTAATCCGGTAGCCATTGCGTAGCCCCGCATCATCCTTTTAACCAGAAGAGAGGCCGTTTCGTCTAACTTGCAGCAATTAATTGAGGATCCCCATCGAACCGATCAACTGTATTGGATGAGTACACCCCTGATTACAGCCCACAAGAAGGATGGCGCAGTGAGAATATACAACGACCTAGGGGCTCTCAATCGGCAAACAGTGGTCGAGAAGTTTGTACCTCCAACGGCCGATGAAATATTAGTAAAATTAACGGGTGTCCAATTCTTCCAAATTGGACTTGAGAAAAACATTCTTCCACATGTCACTAGTTTAGCAATCACGATCACTGACAACATTTATCACAATGGATGGGTTCTTTCAGTATAAAGATTAGCCCATAAATATGAGCTCAGTCCCAGCTGCTTGTCAGAAGTTTATGGTCCACTCACTTGTCAAGTTACACGGTCAAATAGCCTAGAGGGATGACATATGTCTGCGGTAGGACACTAGAAGAGCATGGCTCAAGAGTGCACCCAGTCCTATGAGAACCCTGGTTTAAAACTCGAGAAGTGCAAATTTAATACTATCAACATAGAATTTGTGAATTACATTATTACGACTGACGGCATCAAGTCGGGTGCTGAAAATACGCGAGAAATCACCGAGGCTCCTATATCCACAGAACCCGACAGACGAAAAGCATTTACTGGGTGTGTGTCGGTAGAACCTACTTTATTAAAGTTCACGAATATTGCCAAGCCACTATGAGAACTAACAAGAGAAAATAATAAATTTGTGACCGACCCAAAAAGTGGTTGTTGGCGAGGTAAAACACTGCGTTGCTTCCATACTAGTCATGTAGATATACGACAAAACACGTTCCATTTATCCACTGAAGCCTCAAATAGTGGTTGGGTGCTATAGTATCCCAGACCCAGAACGGAGACTAAAGTGTTATCGTTTGCACCTTTATAAAATTGTCGGCAAAAGAGCTTTCTTACAAAGTAGAGAAAAAAGGAGTGGACCTTCTTCGTTTATGGTAGAGCACTCACTCTACATACGGAAAACACACCTTCAACTGCCCTACTTATTCGGGGAGAAAATAGCAACAGACCGCTGCGAATACATCGCCGGCACGCACGCTCACTAACATAGGACTTCCAAACTAAATTTCTCTCAGGATGTGAAAAGCTGGCAGCAGATAGTGTTTCTCGAATGTCGCTCGATAAAACGGAAAATAATGGTGTGAATGACAGGTTACTGGTGAATAGCCGGGGGAATCTCATATTTGACTAGGGAAGAATGCGACTAAAGACGATACCATACTCTGTAGCGTCCAGGATTTTGCGGAACATTTGGTCACACAATAAGATAATAGCAAGTGATCTTCCTCCGTACTACGTGTTGCATCACGAGCTGTCATTTAAAGATGGGTGTTTAATGCGTGGCTGCAGATTCGTTGCCCGACGGAGGTTAGTACGTGCTCACGATGATTACGCTGACATTATTCGTACAAGAGATAAAGTGGACTCATGTTAATGGTGCCCAGAATGTCGCACGAAATCAAGAAACCGGTTTATGTGTGCTCTTCATGCCAAATAGCAGACCACAGCTAGTTAGCCCTCCTATATAGGCCATAGACTATACTATGCGACAGTGGGCAAAGATAACTACTGACGTCATGGGTGTCGCAAAACACGGTCCTTCAGGGACAAATGGTTTAGTAGACAAAGCAAGTTCAATGAAAGTGACAGCATGATTAGGTTGTAGAAGCCACGATGTAAATAACTAGGTCAGTTCCATAACTAACGACGTTCCTGCAAGCATAAGATTCACTCTTTGAATCAGTCAAACTCACTCCAGAGCTAACAAATACAAACCAATCAGCGTATAGGCGAAGATACGTAAGCGTCCATTCACCCCTTTTGTTCGCTTGCGGCAAGCTAGCCGCTTGCTTCGTCATGTAAGTTCATACCGTCCTTCTGATTGCACAATCGCATCACAATTGATCCGTTCAGGCCAGCGTCACAGCATCAAAAGAACTGTTTGGCTGCGAAGTATTTTTATACTAAGTGGCCGAAAGTTCACTCGTGAGAAGAAGTGACGAGTGCGAATGTCATCAGACAGCTGAAGTACAAGGTTTCGCGTCTCAGATTACCAGAGGAGATTCTGACGGACAACCGTACACGCAGATCCTAAGCAATGAGTTTCATTTGTTTTTACAACTTCACGCAACCCGACACTCAGGAACCACTCTGTATAATACACCAGCGAAGTGCATGGTCGAGCACTTCAACTGGCCGTTGAAAGAGAGCATCCAAAATATTCGCCTGTCAGGTACAGAGTGGAAAGATGAACTATTACAGGCACTCTCTCCCTACAGAACCGCAAATTGATGAGCAACGGAGAAGACACCGGCGGTGGCTTGGATATCCCCAACGATCAAAGCTGCATGCCGTACAACATACTCCCGTAACTAACAACAGTGAGGCGTTAAAACGATGAGAAAGATATCAAGACGCCTATCGGAAGTATGGCACTATGCTAAAACAGGAAGCATTCGCCCGTATCAAGAGAAAATGGTGTCAAAAGAGTACCCCCATGTTATCGGAACCCGTAAGGATAACACGCATCTTGGGGCCTGGCACTAATCAGATGGAAGATTGCAGCATGGACAATGCGAACAAACCAATACAAAGTAGCAAGAGAGCGTATAAGGTCCCATTCCGTTGCTCTGCCGCTTGAAAGAACAGACTGGAAGACACGTTTATGTGGTCGACATGGATTTGATCTTCTGTATTCCGCAGGGAAGTTTAGACATGTCGTGCAAGCGTCACCGACACACATGTACATACGCAAATATGAAGACGACCAGTCATCCTGTCGGTGTCACGAAGACATACGTACACAGCACGTGCCTAAGACAAAGCAATTTATGCAGTGTTGTTCTAAGGAACTAGCTCGATTATCACTGTCTAGTATTGACCGACACACATCATCGTTGCTGACAGGCTGGTGCCATCCGACACCAGCAAAGTTACGCAGACAACGATGATCGAAGACTTAAAGGCACCTCAAATCCACATAACGAAGGCGCCAATTCTCATTCGCATAGAGTAGGACGGTTTTCACTGTGGCCTTGTAAATACGGCCTTTTAGACAGAGGGAAATACCTTTCTGATGCTAAAGATGTCAAAGATTCAAAAAGGTAGTTCTGGCTTATGCAATAAGTGAACGGACTTCAGTCCTTATGCGCCCATCGTTGCCGGTGCAGCTGCCAAGATAAGTAAATCGATCAACTACTTCGACTTCGCCATCTAGAGTCAAGTAGTCATAAAAGCTGGTAGTCCTGCACATTAAAAGCGCGAAGCGCATGCCGGATGATGGGACAATACAACAGAGGCTACTCAGGATTGATTCATCAGCCCCAGAATTGTTAAACAGCAAGACAATATCGTCCGCATAATCAACATCAACTAGCAACCAGACCTCAACGCCTGCATCGAGAGTGGACAATCCTGACGAACGCCGTCGGAAAGACATCCGACAAAGGCGTCCCAATGGGATCCCCAATATCTGGGCTCATCGCACAGATAATCATGCACAAGTTAGAAGAGAACCTGCTCCCGATTATCAGCACGAAATCATAGGTCCGATATGTTGATGACACGTTCTTGATACTCAAACGCAGTCAGCCACAGACCGCGCAATAGTTGCTGAGCAATGAAATGGACGGCATTCGCTTCATCATGGAGTCAGAAATGGAAAACCAACTACCTTTCTTGGACATGTTGTTACCAGAACAATAAACGGATAAATACAAACATCAATTTACAGGAAAGTGCACTCATACTGTACGAATCCTAAATTTCAACAGTATTCATCCAAAATGTAACAAAATAAGCTGCATACGAACCCTATTTTGTAGGATTGAGTCACACTGCAATACTGAGGAAGCAAAGTGAGAGGAAGAGAAACATCTGTTGACGTCCTTTATGAGCAACGGATACCCACGCAGTTTCATCCGAAGACACTTGAACTACAGGGCTGAAAATACTATGCCTGAACCAACAACGAAGAAACGGATCACTTTGCTTTATGTCAAGAACCTATCAGAAATGACGGCCATTCTCAAATCGCATCATCTGATGATTGCCCACATAACAACCGTCACAGTTAAGGAGACCTTGTCTAAACCGAAAGATAAATTGAAGGTATAAGAACGAATTAATGTTGTTTACATCGTACAATGCAAACAATGCGAGAAGTACTACGTGGACCAAATAGGAAGGAAATTCGAAATAAGACAATGAGAAGACTGGTATTGCGAGATGTAACCATTTCGTGTTATCTGCTCACTCGTAAACTAACAACATAAATATAAAGGAAGGAAATTGGTTACAAGAATACAAGAGCACAAGCGAGCTTGCCGTAACCACTACGCATCATCTCTGGTCTCGGCACATGTTGATGAGGAGGGGCACAGGTTTGATTGGGACAAAACCGAAATTTTTGCGCGGGGAGAAACGAGAAAAAGCAGGGAATTCCTTGAAGCGTTGTGTACCACAGAACACTCCATAAACCTGTGCATAGACCTACATCCGGTGTACCAACCATTGAGAAAGAAAGAAATTGGGCGGGTCAGAAATCCTAACATAAGGCACGAAGCAGCGGCGACCGAACAACAAACCACCGAAGGTCACATGATATGAAGCGAAGAGGACAATTTCAAATGTCACTTGCCCATTGAACAAGAACCGAGGACGCACTCAACGAGCTGTACGCTAAGCAGGAGTATCACGAACAGAATGCATCTATCGACTAAGCCGAACGCACTGCTGAAGTCGAGTGACACAGCTATTATCGGCCTGTAGCACGTGGCGCTGCTCAAGCACCTGTCGAATATGTGGTCCATACAGCCACGTACTGAGCAGAAGTCTAACCGCTCTTCCCCAATCCGGGATTCTCATTCCGCATTGAGAACTGAGGTCAGCAACTGTGTCACCCCAGCGTCAGGCTAATACCACTTTGGTTAGCACAGTCGCTACAGCCGCTCTTCTTGTATATCGCCCCTATAATTGATTCACTCCAGTTAGCTGCGATGGCTCTTGCCATCCGGACCTGTTCGAACAGGGAGGTCAGTGCTTTGAAGAGGACCTCATCACCATCATTAAATAGTGCAAGTGAGAGGGAATCCGGACCAGTGGCAAGAAGACGATTATGGGCTGTGATCGCGTCTCGGACCTCTGCCTCTAAACTAACAGCCAACGCCTCGTCCTGTATCACTTGAGGCGGAAGAGGTCCGGAAACAGAACAAATGAAAGGATTTTGAAAGTGCTCAGTCGAACGAGTTATACTGTGCTCTTTATTGTGAATCCGGGCACCCATACTGTCTATGACTGTCTCACTAACGTCTGGCTTCCTGAAACCAGTGGTGCGAATCAGTTGGAAGAGCTTGTGATAACTGTCTACTGCCCCTTGCTGTCTCCATATCCTGAGGCCTACTAGAGCACCGGGGTTCCTTGTCAGCACAAAGGATCTGCTTTAGTTCGCGCCAAATAGTCCGCCCGGTCAGATTCTGCTCAGAGCCAGCCGGGAGTTTCCTTACTGATTCCCACAGGTTCAACGACCTCTCGGGTATCCAGTGATGGATGCGGTGATGAATGATAGTACCAAAAGCGGAGGCTCCTGCATTGTGCATGGCGGCCGAGATCCTACTCCATTGAAGCTCAGTATCAGGAAGACAAGACAGTGACAGTTAGGTATGCAGAGCATCCCGGTAGGCTGGTCTGACCGAGGGGTAAATAAACTTTACAGTCTCCAATTGAGAGAGACGCTTGGTACGACTCCCGGTAAAGTTCATAGAAAAACGACAGCGTATCATGGCATCATCAGAGTCTACGTAAGTACTCCAAAACGAGCGACAATCCAGCATGAAACCACGCCACCAGTAAATTATAACAATGCGATCTATTTGAGTTCATCGCTGGGCAGACTTAGGTGGACACCAAGTGCCACTTCAGCACCCAATGTGTCTAAAGGCAGTGCTAAGAAGGAACGGCTGATGCTCCACGCACATCAGAAACAGAAGCTCGTCATCGTCCGTACGGTCGGAGTTAAGCCCCCACTTAACACCTAGCTGGGCTTCTGAAGAGCTCAGACGTACCAGTTGCGCATTCATATCCTCCACAACCACAATAACTATATCTCAAGTGGTAACCCTGCGTAGTATCGTGTCCAGCTCGTGGTACAAGGCTTCCTTGGCAGCGTCCGAACGGCAGTCGGTGAGGAGCAAAGCGGAAACAAAGAACAAACGTCACCTGCTAATTCGTCAAATAGACAGCACAAAGACGGCTGTTCACGGGAATCTGACCAATCAATGACGACAGCCTTGGAGCTGAGAACGATGCCAATCCCAGCTTGAACAGTGCTTGCATCATAAACGTCTCCGGATGAGTGCAACCTATAGCAAGAGGACAAGCCGGGCGTAATTAATTCAATAACCCCACAAGCGTTGCTGAACCTAGTTTCGGATACACAACAACCGTCAATACGCAATATGCCCTAAGTGCGGACGGTTGCATCCTGTTGAACAGTGGGTGGTACGGGAAGATAGCTGTAGATGGTATGATTCCAGTGAGGTTGCGGATGTTGTCAATTAAACTGGGAATCATGGAAGTAAGTCTAGTAATGTGGGTTGGGATAAGATTAAAAGAAACACATTAAAAAGGAAGAAGTAGCATGTTTTCGCTTACCCCCCCTGCTGTATGCTGCAGGTAAGGGGACGCATCGTAATCTGCGCGACAGCCGATGTATGATATGGTTGAAGTTAGAACAAACTACGTGGGTGAAATACCGTCAAGACGCCCAGAAGTAGGGTCCGCAACCAAGGTATTTGGCTCACAAGCCTATTCACAAAGCAGTAGCAGTGGGGAGGTGGCAACGACTCCGAATTTGCAGAAATGCATGCAAACCATCCCACTACGCGTTAAGGTCCAGTCGCGCTAAGACGGCGTCACTCTACACATGGCGGCTCACAGCCAGAAGAACGCGTAGAAGCGGTGGTGGTGGTGAAACGTGAAGAGAAAGGATTACCAACAGCCGTTATGGAAGGACAAACGCTGAAGCGCGTCATTTATGCGTCACCAGAACGGCGCTGCAAAATCCTGTACTTTAAACAGAAAGAAAATGGACGCAAATTTCACCACCTTACTCAGTCAAAAGGCTAGTTGCGTCGTTGGATCCGCTAGTGGTCAAGCTATTGATCTGTGTAAAGCAGCACGTTCAAAGCCAAAAGATCGTGCGCCTCGAAGGAATACGGACAGACACCGAATCCACCGTAACTCACGTCCGAAAAATATGCGCTAATATTCACCGAATTCATAGGAAGTAGGGAACAGCTGGGGAAAACGCGAGAACCTGTATAGGTATATGTGTTCGGTGGCTGTCAGCGCAGTCAAGTAAGCCCTGAGGCGGATACCACCTACAACAGGTGGGGAAGCTGGATGCAGCCGAATGAAATACGGACAAGCGTGCCGTACACTGCGTGGTAACAACTTTTAACCCCAAATCCAAGACGACTAGAGCTACACAAATCGCACTTGAAGCAAGTAACGTGCATCTACCTAATCTTCAGAGAGAGACAACCGAAATCAGACACGAATCAGAGAAGAAATCATATGCAATGGCTGTAATAGAAAGCTGAACATAGCGCAATTGCATTACAGAGTCATGAGAACTACAGAGGAAGGAGCAACTACAAGTAACGCGGTTGATCAAACCGATTAAATAGGAATATCAACGTTGGCACAACGCATGTAATAACGTTAAACAAAACTGATATTATCAACTGAAAGCTCACTCAGATGAACGGAGTTGAGATGCGCTTGCATGTGACTCTTCACTGAAAACGATCTACCACACTGTTCACACGCATAGGGACGCAGTGCTGAATAAGAGAATATAAAGTGTATAGTTACAGACAAAGCACAAGAGGAAATCACCCACATAATAGTGGATAATCTGTTGGAATAGGAGCGTAAACTTTAGAGTGCAGCACAACCATGAGCACAAGTAATGGACCAGAGAAATCGTCGTGTAAACTAACAGTCTCAATTTGGTAAAAACTGACGTGAACCAAGTCTAAAAAATTCCATACCGGCTATGTAGTGAATCCATCGAGATTTGGTCCCGAATCTACAGACGATGACTGCACACCTCGAGTTCCTAGCGATAGTGAGTCAATGTCTCAAGGTACTTGTGGGGTTGATATTGCCATCCGCAAGCAGGATGAAGGCAATCTATTCGACTGGATACCGGTGGAGAGCCACACGTGTAAAATGCGACTTAGAACTCCTGTGGGTGTCAATAAACATTGTCTAAAGGCAAACCACATTTTCATCGCTTCGGTTTAGGCCACAACCAACTGTAGATGGGAAGGCACCAAAGGTGAATTCAGTTGCGACTCTTGTCTCTTAACAGCGTGGCGAAGATAGTGGTGCCTTGATCGCCGCTAATGACAGAAAGGCCACAATTGATCGCCTACCGGACTCTGGATGAAGGGTGTCGGGGAAAATGTCGCTTCATGCTTCGTGCCTATTCCCGCCAATGACTCCAATTGGTATGTACGCTGAGGATGCTACCCCTGCCAGTCATCTCGTGAGTTGTTCAGGGACAGAATATACATCACGTGGTACAACTATACACTGCAGGGCGCGTCCCCAGATTGCGGATCAAAGAATGCTCTGCTTATAGAGGTAAATGTGGGCAATTCGCGTCTGCTTGAGTCTAAAAACGTGGGTTGTTCTGTATATGCATAGCAGACAGTACGAACTGGATAACTGATCAATCGGCCCAAACAAAATATAAACAAATTACCCAGTGTTTAGCCCAGTAACACTGAACACCAATGGAGCTTATTGCAGCATACAATGCTAAATTTCGGCCAATCAACCTGTGGATTAGCATAAGCCCTTCGATGGATTGGATCTCTGGCGCTCCATGGTAAATCACAAACTACCAGAAATACATGAACAAATGAACTGAGCATTTCCCATCCCCAATCACCTGCGCCTCGCCATACGCCTTTGCATCTAGCACATACAGTCGCATCCCATGGGAAGTGTCACTAGGACCACCCAGCGAAATGGTGGTTTGTCATCAAATTCGACATCAGAAGCGCTTTAAGGTTCAAACGAAATTCTCCAGAACCGGTCAAGTACTGTGGCCCAACAGTTTCAAATCAGCTGATAACCGTATTCCGGAAGATCAGGCAAGAAGAGTACATTTATCTTAGGGAGTCAGTAAATAAAAAGCACAATTAGAAGACGAAGTTCAGCAGATGCATGCATTTCGTATCATCTTATCAGTGCCGACAACGATAACCTGTAATTTTATACAACAGTTTGTGGGTACAGACATACATACAAACAAACGAGAGAAAAAGTCGGTGCCTTCCTTCTACAACCAGGTCAGCCTGAGGTTGACCGACACTTATTTTTGCACACAAAGCACTGGCTTAATCCGATTAATGGCAATAGCCTCGGCAAACTGGAGCCGGGAATTGATATGGTGAAGCAGGATTCTAAACGCCTTGTTGACCTCAATTCGGTGACCCGATATCAATAAGCGTCTGCCGATCGAACATGCCGGCGGCCTGCGCACACACGTAGTTTGAGTTGGGCTTGCTTGCTGAATAATCCTGCACTGAACCCATTTTGATACATGCTCCTTCATTCGGGAACTCAGTGTTCTGTTGGTTCTGCCTATGTAACTATCTCCGGAGTTACATACGAACTGATCTATGCAGTGAGAGTTGGCCACAATAGGCGGAGTTTCCTTCAGTGGAGGCAACGGTAGCTTATGAGTTCGGTCGATGAGTACAACTTCGGCAGCACAGAAAGCGCTCTGTGTGGCAGAAATCAGACGTCCTCAGAGGCAATGTCACTCTTAAAGGGCAGCTCTAAGAATACCTTTCGCTTAAGTATAGTAGGTACAGCAGTTTTCATTTCATTGATTTGACTGTGCTTCTGGTTAAATTCTCGAGGGTACCCATTAGCAACTAGCGTGTTGGTAATTAGTTCTAGTTCATCGGCTAGACAATCGGTCGAAGATATTCGTCTGGCGCGACTAATAGGGTTTTCACCATCGTTCGCTTGTGCCGAATTGGTGTAAAGCTGGTAAAATGCAGATACTGTCCCTGTTTTTCGGTAGACAGACCTTTTCACCAGTCCCTTCTCCCTGTGGCTGATGAGAACATCTAAATACGGAAGACAGTTCTATTGTTCGACTTCGAAGGAAACCCTCAAATTGACATGCGAGGAAGTAGAACGCATCACTAGCTGTGCGATCTACATTTCTGTTGAACAGAACATCAAGATATCGTCCACGTAACGTTTGTAATAGGGTAACTGCGCTGTTTCTTGGGATAGAGTTGGTTCTATCATCAGCATGAAGAAATCAGCTAGTATGGGACCCAGTGGGCTACCCATGACTACCCCATCAATTTGGCGATACGGTATGTTTCGGAAGCGGAAATCGATATAATCTGTGCATATAAGTAATGATTCCCTTAAGAATTCAACCGGAATCGGCAATGAACATCCGGGACTTTTTGATAATTAGCAGATCTAGTCAACGGTCTGGTGTGGCGACACCTTAGTAAACAAGGATTCCACATCTAAAGAACACATCACCTTCTCGGACAAGTTCATTTTATGGAGATCGTCGACAAGCTCGAAGGAATCGTGGAGACAATACCGATTAAACTGAGCTTTTAGCGAAGAAAGCACATTAACCAACCAGCGAGCTAATTTATGTTGAGGTGCGTTCGTCATCGAGAGGATCGGTCTGAGCGGCATTCCGTTCTTGTGCGTTTTCGTAAGCCCATATAGCTGTGGCGCAGTTGATCCACTCGGCTTTAAACTGTTATAAGTAGCTCTGTCGATTACGTGATACTGTTGAAGCATTTCTAAGTGGCGAGTAATGCGGAATTCGAATGCAGTCACATCCATCGCCTACGCCAGTCGTCTAAATT